ACATATATATAAAATAAACATTCTAAGATTTCTGACAGTTCTTGCTTTTGATAAATAAAGTCTATTTTCAGAAAACTGCAGAGATGATTTCCTTCTCTGACATCCTTCTATTAATCATGAGAAACTCTGGTTTTTGCATGCTTTTCTCAAGGTCCCTATGAGACTGACAATATGCCCATGTGTCTGACAATAAAGTCAATTATCTGAATACGTTCCATTTGGAATAGCGACTCTAAGTGCTGAGCAAGTAGCTACCACCATGTTCAAGTTCAGAACTTGAAGCAATTTCATTACGTTAATAGATCCTGTATTTTTAGATATGTCCAAATACCAAATATGAATGGCCACATAGGTCCTAATGACTTGAGAGATCTCACTACAAATTTTGAGTCACTAATTTTTAAATGCTGTGTCTAGTTAAGAAAAAAGTCTTGTTTTTCCTAATGGCATCATTCAAAAAAAAAAAGGCTTAACCCCGTTTCTGTGTGAACGCACATTCCTCACTAAATCTCGCAGGCAACTGCTTAAGTCGCCGTTACTAACACGTGGCTCTGTCATCTCTTTGTATACGTGTCTAATTTATCAGTTTCTTATAGATTGTCAGCAGCCTGCTGCCTCCGTACCGCCACAGTGCTCACAACTAGCCGGGAGGCAAGACTGCCCGACTGTCAGGTAAATTCAGACATCCTTTCTCTTCCCACCCAGCTGCATGTCAGATCCATAGACTCCAAGCTTTCCCTTCTCGCATCGTGACTGCCGATACGTGATTACATTTGCCACGTTTTATTTCCAACACGGGTTGTACGAAACATGCATTGGATACCTGGAGCCCACATGTGCCCAGTGGAAGTACAAGGAACCTAGAGTGTATTTCAAAAGCCACCAGCTGGTGGACTAAAGGCTGCCTTCAGCTCCCTCGTGTGAGTAAACACTTGGGTCAGTCCAGCGTTTCATTACTTTCCAAAATAGAAAACCTGGAATTGTTCGGATGTTTGTCTTTTGTCTCCTTGGAATATCTTTCTCAGACAAACAATCAGGAAGGGTATAAAGCATACCTCATGTCTGGTCCAAGACAACTTTATGAAAGTGTTTCTGTTTTCTGTCCACGTAGGGCCCTCATTAAAACTGAAATTGGGGTGGGAGGGTATAGCTCAAGTGGTAGAGCACACGCTTAGCATGCATGAGGTCCTGGGTTCAATCCCCAGTACTTCCTCTAATAATAAATCAATGAACAAACCTAAATACCACCCCCCCCCAAAGAAATTGAAAGGTGGAAAAAACCTTGTAATGGGCGTTCAGGAAATTGCAGTGGTAGTGCCCTTTAAGATTAACTGAAGAATTTTAATGTTTACTTATTTTTTAATTAATTTTTTAGTTAACTTTAGGGGGTGGTAATGAGGTTTATTCATCTATTTATTTAATGGAGGTACCGGGGCCTGAACCTAGGACCTCGTGCATGCTAGGCATGCGCTCTACCACTGAGCCATACTCTCCCCACTAACTGAAGAATCTCAAAGGCTGGTTTACATACTGCCTGGACACTACACTGGAGAGTTTGCTAAACAATTTCTGTTCCAATGAAAGCTTTGCGAATCCATCATGAATTTATCTTCATCCTGGGCCAGCTTCCACACAGCATCAGAGCAACCCCATCGGGACCTCATCATTTTCTTGTAATCCTTCATCTCCAGTTATTTGGCCTCTGATGATGCCAGGCTTTTATAGTCTGGTTGTGGCTTTTATAGCCTGCTTGTTGTTCCCTCCTTATTTTAATATGGCCATTGCTTTTCTACCAGAGCAAGGCTCCTTTTGAGTAGAGACAGTCCCGTATATACTTCCATGCATGTCTGAGAGGCACACGTCAGAGGCAGGTGCATGTGGTCACGGGTTAGAGCCAGAGACTTGGGGAGCCCGCAAGTCCTCCCCAGAAACACAGCAGCAGCCAAACCCCAGTGTGACTTTGTCCCTGAGGTGGCTGTGCAGCCAGCTGTTTAAGTGGGACACCAAGTTAGCAGGAAAAAGAATGTGATTAATAGGCCCCAAGCCACTGCCTCCTGATTGATGTCTCAGTCTGCCGTGCCCACCACTTCCAGCAACAGGGTTTTTATTCCAGGAAGGTCCTTCACTCATTGATGAATGCTATTTTATAACAGCAGCCAACTGTAGAGTAATTTCAATTTTTAAGTAACTAAATACAATTATAAATGCTCATATCCATCCCACTGGGATTCTGTGTGTGTGGTGCACAAGCACATGGGCTCTTAACCTACAGTACGTTCTCCGCGAATCACCCCCAGCCCTCCCAGAGCTGGGGACGGTGCCAGGCACACGACAGAAGTCCAGTCACTTGACTGCTTGAGTGGATGGCTCTGGGGTCAGATGGCTTGGCTTTTAGTCCCACCTGTGTGATCCTGGACGGCTGCTTTTGGGGGCTAAGATTCTGTTCTTGACTCTTAATGAGAGAGGCTGGGTACTGGGGAAGGTTCGGCGAGGCACAGGCCTGGCCCGTGGTGTGTTGTCAGTGTCTGTCCCGACTACTAACTGCCCTTAGTACCTAACCACTCCTCAAGACCGAGATCTGCAGTGTCTTTCATAACCTCTCTCGTTTGCTAGGACAAAGAGTGGAGAAGGCTACTGTTTTAGATGTTTCAGTTAGATAAGAAATGGAAAGGCTAATGAGGAATCATTTGAAGATTAATTTTTTTTCACCTTTTTTTTTTTGAGAACCAGTTTGACTAAACGATTATGTGCCCCACTTACGTATCTTCCGAGATTACTGGATTTAGGTTGGTTGCTACTTCCACACGGATGATTGACTTTAAAGGAAAGCAGTTTAATGAATTACAGATGTTTCTTGTTTCTACTCACATGAATACAGCCTGGTCCAGAGCAGGCGTCCGCTGACCCTCCCTGTGGTCCACACAGAGAAATGATAACATACAGAGAGACCTGAGAAGACTCCCCTTTGCAGAGTCACTAGGATGATGGCTGGCTTCCTTCCCACTCACGCCCACTGCCAAACGTACCGAACTTAATGCCCTCACTGCCCTCTTCACTTCTTCCTGGCAAGAAGTTAATACATAGCCAACCTTCGTGTTCTTCCTGTGCACCAGACACCGGTTAAATTCTCTACACTTATTAATGGTTACAGTTCCTCTAAGGCAAGCGGCCATTAGACTCATTTTTAAATGAGGAAACCAAGATCTGAGGACGTAAAATGATTTGTCCACGGTCACCCATCCTGAAAGCAGTGGATCCCAGTGACTTAGCAGCTTTTCTCCTAACCATCCCCCTACACCACTGCACTGCAAGGGGGCCCACCACCTGCCCCCTGCCCCATTAGTGATACTGTGAGGAGCAAAGTCAGAGAGTATTTAAATCAGCCATGTTGACTCTTTTTGGGGCAGGGAGGTAATTCAGTTTATTGATTATATTGTTTTTTAATTTCACGGAGGTACTGGGGATTGAACCTATGACCTCGTGCATGCTAAGCATGGTGCTCTGCTGCTGAGCTAGACCTCACCCCCACCACGCTGGCTCGTTATCCCTGAATCAAGAAGGAAAGTTTATTTAATGAGAAACAAAAGGTGCTAAGAATGTTGAGTGACTTCAGGTTGGATGTTTTCTATCCCTGTGTCTCACTATAAAAATTGTTTTATACTGCCTTCAACTTACACATAGATTAAAACTAAAATTTTAGGCCTATAGCTTTGCATAAAAGAACATTTGTCACTTTTGAAAATGGAGAACTTTTCCATATATGCTTTTTACAGATTGATTCCACTGTAGAGACCAATTTTTAAGGTTGTTTATAGATATCAGATATCATGATATGAAAAGAAATGCCCAGTGTGTTGCAGCCTTAGGTGTAATATTTTATATATATATAT